TTAGTGTTTTTTCTCGAAGAAAACTGAGATTAAAAGAGTAATTTACGGATGATTTGATCAACATCTGAATTCAAGTATCAAAATAGTAATGCACAGTGAACATTATACTATACGGCAAAAAATTGCTGTCGTTGCCGCAATGATCCACGGCATTTTGTTCTCCCTCTACAGCAATTGCCGCGATAAAATTCAAGCCTTGAATTCAAACAAAACATCACTTATTTTATTTATTTTATTTTATTTTACAAGATTCGCCGCACCAAACAAATATTAAACTTATTCAAATATCTACGAGTGCATTGGCTGGGACTGACCACAGAGATAAACTCCAATAACGGGGTCCCAACAAAAAAGACAAATTACTATACATGCACAAAAACATTAATTGGCTTTCGCCAAACTGTCAACAACATGATCGGAAAGATAAATTTTGAATAGAACGAGTAGAGTGGCATTTGACACACACCGATTTAAAGGTTCTAGGATTGTCTGGGTTGTAGACGTGTTCGAGAAGGTTAAAGTACTATCTAAATAGTAAATTTTTAAAGGAAGCTGTAGATCTTGTAGTGTCTCTGGGTGCTCTTACGCTGGGTGCTCTTACGTAAAAACTGTTTTGAAAGCTAACAGTCTTGGATTTAGGTTACATTTAGTAGAATACCATTGACGGAATTAGAGTTTCTGGTTCTATGATTCGAAACCTGTATTGAGATGTTTGTATCAGAGTCATTAACAACACAGTTGTAGAGATAAACTAAATCTAGAAACTCGAGCCAATAGCAGATGGGAAGAATACTGATAGACTGGAGACGGTCTTTGTACAAAACGTCTGATCTATAAGGGAGGGAAAGGATGAATTTGGTGGCACGACGTTGGATGCGTTCTGTTGTAGCGATGTTAGTTACTGTTTGGGGTGCCCACACTTGACTGGCATACCCCAATTTGCTTCTAACCAAAGACAGGTAAAGAATCTTGCAGACTTGGATATTGTTGATGTCAGAGGCTGATCGTTGGATGAAGCCAAGCATCATGTTTGCCTTTAATACCGTGCTATGAACTTGCTTGTTCCATTTCAGGTCGTTGGAAATAGTGATCCCGAGATCTTTCTGGGTAATTAATGACTTAAACAAAGTATCAATAAGCTGATATTCTGCGATAATTGGTTGACGACTTCTAGTAATGCTAAGAACCCCGCACTTGGATGATTCAAGTCCATCCTCCAATCGTTGCACCATGTCACAAGTTTATCTAGATCATTTTGCAGACTTTTGCAGTCAGCTAACTTGTTCACGGGAGAATAACACTTTGTGTCGTCAGCGAACATAGCCACAGACGATTGGGTTGAAATTGAATCAGGAAGATCGTTCACAAATACCAGAAACAGTAGGGGTCCTAAAATTGAACCTTGGGGAACTCCAGATAGAACAGGGAGAGTATGGGACGACTCACCGAGAACTGTTACTTTGGAAGATCAATAAGATAAATTATAATACATAGTACCAAACATAGCAAAAGAAAGAAAAATGATGAAGTGAAGTTCATTACGTACGTACATAAGTATAACATCATTTGATTAATGATTTCGGACTCACAAATTAATACTATTACTGTAGTGTACATTGTAATTATGTTCATGCAGCTGTAAAAATTAAACTACTAGTAGCACACTAAAGTACATTGTCACTTACAAGTATAAATGCAAATGACATCTAAATCTAACATGTTAACAGTTGTACTTTGTCTTTTTACTTATTCTATATTATTTGATTGTTAATTTGTGGGGAAAATTTTTTAAATTTCCATGCGAGGGCACGCTCCCCTCCCCGCACGATTTTTTAACTATCAGTCACAGCCGGTTACTTTTTTGGTACAACCGCCTACTTCAAATCATTCTGAAACCCCTGTGTAAATAATATTTGGGGCATAAAGATTAAATCTAAGCAAGTCTATTTCCTAAAAGAATTAAAAACTAAAAATAGTGTTCGTAAAAATTCCATGCGTGCAAGCTATTCGCATGACAAGGTACTGTAAACTCTATTCAGGGAAGATAATAGAGTTTCAAAACTTTACAATTGCTCCAATAAACCAGTGAATGCAAGTGAGGAGCATTTAGTTTCAGAGTGTTATACTGTCGTTTTCTGTTCGAGTGTACTCCTACATTTATTTTGTATCATCAACACTCTGCACGTTGGAGTGGACTATTTAATTATTTATCTATTATCCAAATATTGGGGGGGTTGAACATTTTTTTGGAGGGGTGGACATTTTGTTTGGGGGGTTATAGCTAATATTGGGGGGGGGGGTAGTGTAGTATTTACTATATTGTTGTAACATGAAGTATAAAGAAGATTAGGAATCCAATATGGCGTTTTAGTAAATATACGTGTTCAGTAAATTGTTTATGTTTAATCGAGTTCAATCTGTTGTTTTATCAGGATACATACTACAAATGGCGACGAGGATTTACATCTAAATATATCGAGGACCTGTTTAAAAGGAATTTTGATAAATTAGTATTATGGAAACGAATCAAAATTCGGAAAATATTCAAGCAGGTGAATCGAGTGGAGCCGTTGTTTTAAATACGAATGCGATTATCATGCATGCAACTGGTCTTCCATCATGGCAGGAGAATGTTCATTCTGTTTTGGTTCCATCCAAACATGGAAACCATAAAGTAATTGTATAATGACAATATGATGGCTTCAAGAATTTGACAGTGGCAGCTCAAAAAGTCAAATCAGCCAGAACTCAGGCAAGTGTTGAAGTGTTTGTGATTAAATCTTTTAACCTTGCATAGTTTAGATCTGTGCCTCCATGACACGTCAAATCAATAACTTCAGAAGTTTTCTTTTTATTCCTCGTGAGCACTTTTAATCGTTGTTCCTGCAAAAGTAACAAAACTCGCATGAATAAAGTGAAGGTAAAGACTGTATGAAACGATACAGCCAGATGTCTCACAGGCTTGTTGCAAGTTGTTGTCAAGCCGATATCTAGATGTGTTCATTCGGGTTCAACAGACTTGCAACAACTTGTTCCAACAAGCCTGATACAAGCTGTTTGTAATAACTTGCTACGTGATTGTTGTTATCAACTTGTTAACAACAAGTGTTGCGAACAGACTATATCAGATTTTTTAAGTTGGAACAAGTAGTTGCAAGTGAACAAGTCTGTTTACTTTATCAACCTTGATGCAAGATGATAACAACTTGTTGCAGGCAGCAACTTGCAACAGGCATGTGAGATTTCTGCCAATGTAAAGATAAACCATTGATTTGGTTGAATGCAGAAATTACAGTGCATGCAAGGGATGTAAAATGACGGGATACATTAAAAGATTTGCCTACAGCAGTAGAGAAGAGGTTGATGTGAAATATAATATATTTACCTCTTCATTAGTGCTCGAAGGTTCGCCTGTCAGGTCGATACATGTTGTGTATTGTGTTGGATTCTTGTCTTTGTCGCTGCTAAATTAGGAGACTCAATATATTAATATATTATATGCATAACGAGGGGAGTGACGAGCAGAGTAACAGCGAAACAGTAACAAAAAGAAACGATCGCTTCTGATAACTATAGTTGTGCAGTTATATAATGTTCAAAGTTAACATATTACGCTTTGGGTGTCCGAATGGAGTCAAATCACTACCTGAAGAGAATCACTACCTGACTATTTTTCAGGTAGTGATTTGACTTCTTTTGGACACCCAAGCTATTCCTTCCACACTGCCGAGGACAACAACACAACACTTATAAGGGGCCTGGGAACGATTGTGTTGCCTTGACAACAAAATTAGAAGTATTTTCCCGTGCGTCTCATCATGTACTATCTGTATGCAAAATTTCATTTGATTTGGGCCCATAATAACTGAGCTATGCTTCAGTTTACTATTCAATAAACACACTTACCCAACTAATGACGTCACACGTTGTGCTGAATCAGCAATTTATATTTTGCACATTTTTGCGTACAACTTCGGAACCAGATGAGATAGAATAGAGCATTAAACGGCTAATTGGCTTATTTTTTCATGCCCTTTCAGATGAAGCAATAACATTTTTTGTTGCTCGTACCCTTTAAGTCTAAGAATTGATCAAAATCTTGATCGAACGTTCATGCATGATATTTATCCAATAAAGGCAATATCTGAAATATATTGTTAGGTTATATATAAGCGAACTTTTAATAACTTTAATTCCGCGATAAAAAAGCATTTGCTTTAATATTTTAATCTGTGATAAAAAAGCTTTAAAAGGATTTGCTTTAATATGTAACATGATGGTAAAAGAAAGATTTTATACTCACCAACACAGCCGTAAATTTCGGTCAGGTGTGGCAGTTGCGCACCCACCATTACGTAAAATAGACGGTAATTTTGAGGTAAAGGTTAAAAAGGGTTTGTTAGCAAATTGGAATTTAGAAGTTTGAGGGCTTGCTTCCTCGTCCCCGACCAGAAAAAGATAATTTCAACTACTAATGTTAGGCCAGGATCAATGAAACGTCGAACTTTTCATGCGCTGAACCTAATGTTAATGAGCTAAGTTATTTGTTTCACTTCATTTGCATTAGGTTCGGCGCATGAAAAGTTCGATGTTTGACCCTGGCCTAAGTAAAATCAGGCGTGTTAATCATACAATATATTGTCTAGTAATATGTCAAATGGAAAAAGGTCCTTACAATTTACGTGCATGTATCGCCTGATACATCCCTTATTTAAGTTATGTAGGTTCTTATACCCGGTCTCTCCAACTATATATCTTATAATTACCTTCCATTCAGACTTCCATCTTCTTCCTCCTCACAATCTTCATTACGTCCCGCAGCTACATTTTCTTAGATTTTGCTGCATACCAAAGACTGGAATATTTGTAATACCTCCAAAGCAGTTGGACGTTTTATTGGATCGACTACTGTGCAATTTCTATGTACTTTCGCAATGGGGAGCCAGGTTGTTTCTTGAAGTGTCTTATACTTATTCAATCCACTAGACTGTTTCCCCAGTTGTAAGAACTCTTCCACTTGCTCTATTGCGCTTGCGTCTCTCACAATATCTAACTGAAATGGGTGTTTCAAATCTGGGTTTACTAGGTTGAACATTACCATACCAAGTGCCCATACATCAACTTTCTTGAGGTCTTCCAGACTGGCTGATTTCAAGCAGCGGGATTTCACCAAGATTTTCGGAGCCATATACACAGGTGTTCCTCTGGCGATTTATTTTAAGTACGGAAAAAGAATAGCTAAATTCACGCAGAAACTTTATACAAGAAACTCAGTAAAATATACAACAACGGTAACTCCGAATAAAGACAACATTTTTTATTTAAAGTTTCGACCTGATGTTGAATAAAAAATGTTGTCTTTATTCGGAGTTACGTACAGTTGCGTATTTTATGAAAATGCTCAGTGGGTCCCGCAATTATTGGAGTCGAAATCAACTAACATAATAGTGTTCTACTTTGCAGCAATTACACTTCTTGACGACTACCTCGTGCCGGTTTCCCACCCCAGTTATTTTAGGTTGACTGGTATTTCGACTGTGAGGAAAAGTGGATTACCCAAGATCCTGTTTACAAGAGCAAAAGATTCCGGATTTGTCAGGAAACCAAAATGTTTTAGAACGGATTCATGTTTCCGTTTACAGCAACAAATCCGATAGGAAATCATCTTGGCTTTGAGTCGTATCTGGAAACTTTGAATCCGGAAAAAATGTAGAAACTTTGTATCCGAAAATATTGTATCCGAGATAGTTTACTATGTAAACGGATGTAAACAGAAATTTCAATGAACCCGTAACCTTTTCTGTAATGTAACTGGACGAATCCGAATTCTTTTCAGTTACTGTCGTAGTGCAAACGCCTCATAACTCCAAAAACTTGAAAAACAACAAATACGGATACTTTCATTAATCCGTAATGTAACTGGACGAATCCGGATTCTTTTCGGTTACTGTCGTAGTGCAAACGCCTTGTAACTCCAAAAACTTGAAAAACAACGAATACGGATACTTTCATGAATCCAGAAACGTTTGCTCTACTCTAGTCCAATAAATGAGGTCTGATGCTCTGCAATAGACCTTCCGGTAATTACGTTGTAACTACACTGTTTTCAACTTGGAACCATCTTAATTAAATATAATGGATTTCATTTTCTTTTTGTTGCGGGTTATGGGCAGAGAAGCAGAATATCCTTCTTCGACACATCAAAAAAAGGATTTTGACCAATAAATGTAGAAATAAGCTTTAACACGAAAACGAGGCTGGGTCAGCCTCGTTTTCGTGTTAAAGCTTATTTCCACATTTAATGGTCAAAATCCAAAATCCTTTTTTATGCATGTGTTGAAGAACGATGTTCTGCTTCTATGCCCATAGCCCGTAAGAAAAAATTTGAAATCCATTCCATTTAAGGTGGTCCTATGTTGAAAACAGTGTAGTTGTGACGTAATTGCCGGAAAGGTCTATACATCGCAAGTCGCCGAAAAAAAAACATTCGCTCCATATTAGTATTAATTTATTACAGTCCATGTACTCCGGCTGTGGGAGTATAACATTTGTGGCAAATGGGTGTGGTTATTTTGAAACGTTATGGCAGGGTGCTCTCATTTCAAAAACCCCTCCACTAGTATGAGTACCCAAGGCACAAGTTGAGCATCGTAGAATTCTAGAGGGGTCCGGGGTATGGCTTCTCTAGAAAATTTTTAAAGCTAGAGTCTCTAAAATGCCATTTTCTGGACTTTGGGGTAAGATTCTCTGAAATGAAAATATTCTGATAACCCCTCGCAAAATTAAAGATATTAAACAAATACCTATCAACCCTCTTTGTCATGGAGTGAACCGCTGCCGTTTGTATCTGCTGGGACCTGCCAAAATCTGCTAGCTTGCATATAATTAGGCTTTCTGAAAATAACTTCATTTTCTTTTCCTCATCCGCTATATGACAGTAATGTTGGTTACTAACCAAAATGTTTTTAGCCTTGAGATCACGATGCGAGATTTCTTTAGAATGCAGGTACGCCAAACCTTCAGAAATTTCTTGGCCGATCTTTAGTGAAAAATTGTCCTCAAAATAACCAAACCCGTCGATTTTGTCCATAAAGTCAAGAAAATCAGTCAAATTGCTCACCTCTTTAGACAGTTCAAACGGTGAAAACTCAATATAACACTATAAGCACTTCAGAAAGGCTGTCGCTTTTGCTTTTTGGAAGTTAGAGCTAAGTCAACACTGCCGTTTCAGGGCGTGGTCATTTTCAGGACTTTCTTCCCGGATTCAGGTTTTGGCACATATGCCATGTTGACCGCCATGGTAATTTTACCCCCCAAAATACACCCAGATTTGAAAACATGAAATGAAAATTTTTCAACCGAAGCAATTATTTACCTTAACCTCCCCTCCCCGAAACAAATGTTGGCTCAGGTAAAGTGGATTTGCAACACATATGACCTAAAATTTAATTTTCTCAGGTAATTAGAGAAATATTACAATATTTTAGCTAGTTGACAGTAATCCCAGATTCAAGCAACAGAAAAATTCTTGGTCGCCCTAAAATTGTTCTTACGATAAAAATGACACCCCTTTACACGATTCTCCGCTTTAAAATTTTGCTTCCATTTAACTACTGGGGTAGTTTAACAATATATAGCACTTACATGGAAACTCTATCTACACGTTGTATAAACACTATGTAACCGTTCTATCTTGCATGGATTTTCTGTGGGAATTTGACAAAGGCTTAGATTTGGAAAAAGAAGTTTGCCAAGCAAACATACTTGTTCTTGCCAAGCTTTTGATGCAGCGCAGGGCATCCACTGGCATCTTCACAAATGGAAAGTCCTTTTATTGGTGAAATGGGTGCCTGTGCCATCTCCGAATAAGATATAAGTAAATATGAATACACAGATAGTTAAAATAACCCCCTACACTAAAACGCAGAAACATTGATCTGGCTGCGAAACAATTCCACCTGTTGGCCGTCAAACTCCGGTTAATAAATGCAATAACTATGACTATGTTGTAGAAATATAAAGCAATAACACATTCAACTTACCAGTTAAAAATGTTGAATACACTTGAACAGTCTTAAAGACAAAGCAAGAAAAGTAGAAGTGGTTGTGACCAGAATCTTGAAATACGCAAGTGAATTATTTCACCAAAGCGATGGACTTTTATGTGCAGCCTTGTAACATTAAACTTATTCGTTACCCATCTAACTGCATCATCAACACTTAAAATAATCTGATTTTTAAGATAGCTCTGACACTTTACACCTCTCTATTTTTTGTATTCTTGATATCGCGGTGGTGCCAGGAAATGCGCTTTATTTCGACATGTATGGGAAATAATATTTGTGTTTTTAAACTTGACACTTGATCGCACAAGTATTAACTGCATGTAATCACTATCTGTTTTAATTTTCGCTATTAGTAGGTTTTAAAAAGGCATATTTGTAACAATTCCTCGGATTATGTAAATTCCACTTATCAACCTAAACTTTTTAAGCTATAGACTATGCAAAGAAATATCTGGGAATGAGGTTGCTGCTTCAACCTAGATCGTCGCAGGGACGATGTATATAACTTTTACATTGTTTCAGCATTTTTTTCAATTCATAATCCTAGCTCATGTAAACTACGAAAATAGTTATATCGAATTGTGAGAAGCTCAATTGTTTTGTAAAGGTGTTGACCAAAGTAAATGGATGACGGTGTGCCGCCTGCGTCAGCCACCTGAGAGGCAGACAACTTGGCGGGCTTCAGCGCATCCCTATAAAATTGTATGTGACATTCAAAATGGAATTTCAGAAGTTGTTACCTTTACGAAATGCAGCTATGTAGTTTTGCAGAAATTACAATTATGCCAATTATACAACACAGAACATGGAAATCGAAACTTCTCTTTTGGTTGCAACGTAAGTATATAATATATAGTTTATTTGGCAGGAAAATTATAATTCCAACATTTTTCATTTCCAAATTTGATCAAATTTCAAATTATATGTTTATATGTTCAAATTTTATGTTAAACTAACAATTTTATACTCAGCATGCTTGAATGTTACACTTTGTAAACTTTTTTGTGGTGTTAACTGTAATAATTTTTTTTCATCTCTGCAGTGTGATGCGACGGTTTCTTTGTTGCAACACGCGCGACAAATAAATTGAAGATTTAAAAATTAATCGCATCAAATCATTCTACACCTGTTGTCAAACAATGAACGAACTAAAGATACCATTTCTCATAGTGAGCCAACATTGTTTTTAGGTTTTGATGGTACTGTATATTTATTTGTTTGTTCGTTAAACAATATTATCCGGTATTATAAACAGAAATCCCCAAGTTTTGAAAATATATACAGACACGTATCTCTAATTGCAATGCACAGAAAACCCAGCAAATAACCTTTTTGCAGCTTAAGGCCCTGTCACACTATTGCGTGTGAGAGAAACGTATGAAAAGCATATGAAAATTAATGAAATAACTTTCATACGCACAAAAATCCTTTGAAATGCCAGCGCATGAGTATCGTACATCTGGCATACTTCTAACGTATTCAGCGTGTGTCTAGCTATAGAGTTGCTTATCGTATAAAGCATACGTTCAATACGCACAATATTTTTGAACATGTTTAAAAAAAATTTTTGCCTCGCCATATGCATGCCAGTGTATGCCACCGTACGCGACCGTGCTTGAAACGTATACAACCTATGCCTAATGTAGCCCTAGCGTATGTCAGCGTATACCTGCATATGAGTGATATTTTTCATTTGCTGGCATACGCTAGTACTATACGCAATAGTGTGACAGGGCCTTTATGACTGGAAACGCTTAGAGCCTGCGTTAAAATTTTCATGATTCAATATTAATATCTCTTTGCATAAAGAATAAATAAACATTTCTTTGTAATCATCCTGTATGCAGTATAGTATTTAATGACATTGATTCGTGTCTAAAGCAATCTTGCATGGTTCAACTTGTTGACTTGTGTAGTGTTTAAAAATAGAAAACACTTTTTCAATAATATTGCAACTCTGTTGTAAAACCACACTGCATATGCATGATTGGATAACGATTGGATAAACATGTACTGGATAACCATATTTTATCGACCTGCATGAACTATTGTCTATTCACTATTATTATATAATAATATCAGAGTCTGCCACGGAACGAAAGAACTGAATTTTTTATAAATTTGTTTGATGTTGTTATATTGAACATTCGAAACTATTGAATGCGAGAGAAAAGAGAAAACAAAATTGTTTTATAATCCTGAAAACCATGAAATAATGTGGCCCTTTACACCACTCTATTTTCATTATTCTTTTTGGCAGTGCAAGGCCAGGAAATGCGCTTTTATTTCGACATGGGAAGTAATATTTGTTTTTTTTTAACTTTAACACTTGATCGCACAAGAATGTTAACAGCATGCATAGAGTAACTATCTGTTTTAATTTTTGCTGTTAATAGGTTTTAAACAACATACTTACAACAACTTATCGGACTGTATATAAACTCCATGAATAAACCTAATTTTTTTAAGCTATATGCAAAACAAATATCCAGGAAAGAGGTTGCATGCGCTTCAACCTCGATCGTCGCAAGGACGATGTATTATATAACTTTTACAGTGTTTCAATTGTTTCAACATTTTCGAAATCAAGACATTTTTTCAAATAATAATCCGAACTGAAATAGTTATATTGAAGTGTGAGAAGCTCAATTGTTCTGTAAAGTTGTCAATGGCGGTGTTCCGGTTGCGTCGGCCACCTGAGAAGCAGACAACTTGGCGGGCTTCAGCGCATCCCAAAAATATGTAAAAATATTTCAGTGACTCAAAATGGAATTTGGCAAGCTTCCAAAGTATCCAAGTCTGTCTCTTTCTGCAAACACAAGTATTGCTATGGTGTGGAGTCACTGCAATGTATTCAACGCTTTCCAACGCAAATGTCGGTGATAAATAATAAAATACTAAATTCGTTACTGAGAAAACAAACACCCAACTTTTAAACTTGCATCAACTGTGAACAACTTTCAGTCTTCGCCCCGAACAAAATGGAAACAATTCACGCAAATAAACCACCACACTTGCTTTCGCTACTCATGTAATGCCCCTCGTCTGTATGTATAAAAAAGGCACTTAGCTGTGCTTCAATATTTCTAACGTATTGTTGTGGGAGAACTTAAAAGTCATATACAGTATAGTCCGGTAGCAGAAGCCGACATACATTGATTAAAAATGTAGTAGCACTCAGTTTGGGCTCAAACGATTTCCACACCATACATTTTTTTCTGAAATCAAACTACAGTTTCGTATATTGCATTTATTTTCATGGTATGATGATACGGCGCTATAGTTTTGTATATTGCATTTATTTTCATGGTACGATGATACCATCGTATCATCGTACCATGAAAATAAATGCAATATACAAAACTATAGCGCCGTACCGTATGGCGCTATAGTTTCGTATATTGCATTTATTTTCATGGTACGATGGTACGGCGCTATAGTTTTGTATATTACATTTATTTTCATGGTACGATGGTATGGCGCTATAGTTTTGTATATTGCATTTATCTTCATGGTACGATGGTACGGCGCTATAGTTTTGTATATTGCATTTATTTTCATGGTACGATGGTACGGCGCAATAGTTTCGTATATTGCATTTATTTTCATGGTATGAAGGTACAGGTACGGTTATTATGTTTTCAAACTTGAGTTTAACAAGTTTAGCTTGAGTTTTAACTCGTTTTTAAATCACCCCACTTTTTTTCATACTATCACACAACTGGCCCTAGTTGAAAAATCCCTCCTAACATGTTAGTTAAAAACGTGAAAAATTTAATGTAATCTGGTTTTATTATAAGTAATAAAGGAAGAGAGAAGGTACGATGGTACGCGTACCATAAGAATATTTTTGGAACCCCCGTCCTATGTTAGGCATGGTGTATCCTCATAATTCAATTAGTAAAGATCATGACAACTCTGGTAAACAAGAAATACAATCTCTTATTCAAAACAGGGTCATTGCCCAGTGTGGACATGAACCAGGTGAATTTATTTCACCAATTTTTTCTGTACCAAAACCAAATGATAAGATACGCCTTATCCTAAATTTACTCATTTGTGTCAAATGCTCATGCATTTGACACAAATGAATAACAGCGCTGTGCGAGGGTACTAATTCCCCCTGGCTATTTACACCCGGGGAAACGAAAGCATTAGGGAAGTCTGAAGTTCATCAAATATCGCAAGCGTGGGTCACTGTGCGTGGGTGGTCATCCTCACTGATCTCAAAAATATGGCGGACTGTCATGAATAGCGAACACCGATTCGTCAAATTTAAAATTTGTTGTTGTATGACCAATGATGACTTTAACTGACAGATACTTCATGAAAATATTTTGCTTTTTGTGCTACAGTTTTTTGTACATTTGCAAAAACATTTGGCAGCTTTAAAAGCAATTAGTTTTATTAAAACTTTTATCAAACAATTATGGTATCAAATACCAATTGAAAAGATATGGAGCTAGCCATGCAGAGCGGCAAGGAAACAACAAGAAAGCCGAGCGTCTAGCAAAAAGAAGGGAGTGAAGACGATAACGTTTGCTCGAGGAGACTGCCGAGGAAAGAGAACCTCGCCTGGGAAAGCGTAGAGAAGCATGGAAAAGACTGATGAAGCGAAAGGTAAGAAAAGGCTTGTCTTCACAACGCTATGTACCAATGTTACTGTAGCTATACAAGTTGAAGTATGATATTCGACCCTCTATATTCGACTGTTTCTTCACAATTTTCCAATAAAGAGTTTGTCATGACACGCTCAAGCCAGTATAACCAGCCTGTATTTTATTTATATCAGTTATCACAGCCACAGGCAATTTTATGCTGTCAAATACCCAAGGGTGGGTTGTAGCGAAGTAGTTGTAGTTCGCTACTGTAGCGAACTACAATTTTCAAGTAGCCAGTAGTTTTTGACTACTTTTTTAAAACAGTAGTTGTAGTTATAGCGAACTACATTTTGCCTAAAAGTAGCCAAGTAGTTGACTACTTTTCAAGCAGCGAATCGCTATTCGCTACTTTTTAAAATTGTTAGCAACCTGATAGAATAGCGCCATGATATTGAAACACAGTTTGCTTAAAATCAATACTCAATAGTCAATTTGCACTCCTGAACACTGTAGTGCTTACAAAAATGTTGCTTTGTGTTTACTGTTGGCTGTTTGTCGATTTGTTATAGATTACATTACAGCCTGAGTTAGTAGATGCTCCAAATATAGTAAAACTAAAAAATATAGTGTAGCGAAATAGCGAAATAGTTCGCTACATTTTTTAAGCAGTAGCTGTAGTCAGTAGCGAACTACCTTTGTTCAAAAGTAGCAGTAGTTGTAGCTGACTACATATTTTTGAAGTAGCTGTAGTTATAGCGAACTACAAAAATTTTGTAGTCAACCCACCCTTGCAAATACCCGTCGGTTGCAACTAAAGGTGAACAGTTGCAGATAAAACATTCTCTTGACAAACATTGGAGATTCTAATCATGCAAATGTTTTTATGAGCGACTGTTCATCGTTAGTTGCAAGCGACGGTACAACACACTATGAACATTTTTCCGACTGTGACCGAATGTGCAGCGATATATTTTTCATGAAAGTTGTTATCAATTCCTAAAATTTGTTTATAGTAAAACGGCCTGCTCAGCACTACTCACGATGATTTCATTTAGAAATGCAGTTACCAGGAAAGGAACTCATTCTAAAATATGTAAATTTAAAAGCATTGGCTAACAGAATAAAGCGATGTGAAGACAAGGTATAAAATTTTATACTTGCTATTTGTTATAAAATCCTATAAATAAACCGATTCAACAATAATTTTGCCTCGAATTTGCATATTCTATGCTGCATGTCAGAGGCTGCATGTTTATATTTTATTTTTATAGTATAAAAATAAAATTGTAATAGTATGAAATAAAATACATTTCTGTTTATTGACCAGTACTTTTTTAATGTCTTCTTCATCCAGTGGTCAGAGTAAATTTCTACTTCTTGCAAGTAAATATTTGACAAGCAGTCTGGAATAAGCACAGGAATAAGCACAATAAGCCATTTTATAGTAGCAATATGAAACGTTTTTTCTTTTTCCATGACTTTTAATGCATCAGCCAAATCCAAGTGTGCCCATCCCCCTCGCCCAGCCATTTTCCTGTAAAGCACATCCCGGGGGTTGGGCATTTCCACTCGAACCTTATGCACTTATCATCGGCTTCTCAGGGGGTTGACCCCTGGGACACCCCAGGGGGAACCCCCAGGAACAGGAGGGGATTCGTTGTCTCTTGTAAAAAATAGTGTCCCTCGGGGAAGGGGAATTGTTTGGGTTTGGTAACAGGCACTGTTAACCCCTGGGATAAACCCGCAGGATTTTGTTTCACATATGGTCAGCGGTATCTAACATATATGTCCAATATAGATATAACCATCGGTTGTCAGGTGGTGAAGTATATTTATATTATATTTTTATTTATTACCTCGAACATGTCTGTCAAATGCATTTAAATATATTTAGCCAAATACTTTGAATTACGTTTCGCACATGAGAACTGTAATGTGAGATATAATAATGAGAACTGTAATGTGAGATATAATATTATATTTTTATATACATAGTTGGCCACAGTATATGTAAGTAATAATAAACTAGAAATACATGCATGCAATAACCCCTCGCCTGTTTTCAAAAGATGTATACTCAGTGCCGTTGCGAGCACTTCGTCTCAGGGGGTGTGTACACCATCTGACAACTATCTGACAACTATCTGACAACCATCTGATACACTTCGACCATCATACACAATCTTCATCTGACAACCCTTCCCTGTATAATCACCCTACATAATCATACACCATCTGACAACCATCCGACACACTTTGCATGACCATCATACACCATCTGACAACCCTTCCATGTAATCATACACCATCTGACAACCCTTCCATGTACAACCACCTTACACCATCATACACCATCTGACACACTTCGACCATCATGCACCATCTTCACCATCAGACATCAGACATCAGATATCGATGCCTGTATTGCATGGACATTACTCGTATCTAAGAATCATTGAGTTTGAATAGAATAAACTTCATCTTACCCTAATTATTTATAATTCAGCGCATGTGCAAATAAATTCTTTCAAGCGTGCATGCTTTACATGCTTGAACCTGACATTTTTGGACGGTTATTTTAAAATTGTTTACTTTTCTGCTGTATTTTGTATCCAGTTCACCAGTTATATAATATTTTGTTTTTGTTAGGGATGTTATGTTTGCTTTTTTGCCCCGGGGGTAGGGGGCTAGCTGTAACATGATTTTTGTCATTGAACTTTCCCCTGTACCCAGGGGCTTTGTTAATATTTTGTTCCATCCTCTTAACAAAAGTCCCTGGGTGGTTCGGGGGTCGACCCCTGGGGAAGCCGATGATAAGCGCATTAGCCCCGGCGGGGCAGGGCTTTTGAAATTAAGGATTTGGAGGTTTTGCGATCACTGATAACTGATAATAATATAAAACAAAACACTTCTATCTGCAACTTTTACAATCACTGATAACTTGATAATAATTTAAACCAGTCAAGTTGTAGTTTCAATATCTGAGAATAATACATGGGTGCGTGGAAATACCAGCTTTATTTCGAGTGTTGAACATGTTATCTCACAAGTGAGCGCAGCGAACGAGTGAGATGTCATGTTCAACACGAAAAATAAATCTGGTATTTCCAACCACCCATGTATTTTTCTGTTTATTATATAAAGGACAGTCTTTGAAAAGCGATAATTTTTACAGAAAAGCGATAATTGAAAAGTGATAATTTTCACATATGAGATTATCATCAATAATTTCACATGTAACTGTGAGATTATCATTTTTATCAGTGCTCGAAATCTCTATAAAACACTATACATTATAATAAAAATTCATAAATTTGAACCACGCTAGAGCATGACAACAGCAAAATGCTTTAGAGTATGATGCACAATATTTTGGGAGGTGAAATACATGAACAATAAATCAGAGAGTGTTTACTTGAAACTCACTGGGGGGCGGGGGCAACACCCCTGATAATTGTTCATGAGGAATTTCAGGTAGATTTCCAGTGCACTTTTAGGTAAATTTAAGTAGATTTGCAGAAGATTTTCAGGGGAGTTCAGGTAATTCTCAGGACATGAGAAAGTGAATTTGCAAAATAACTGTATTTTCGGAAAAATTATTATATGTCCTGAAAATTTTTTGTGCATCTGGAAACATTTTGGTAACCCCCCCCCCCCCTTCTATCTAACCTCACCCCCCCCCCCTGAGACGAAGTGCTCGCAACGGCACTGAGTATACATCTTTTGAAAACAGGCGAGGGGTTATTGCATGCATGTATTTCTAGTTTTAAAATGGATAATATCCATACTGTCTTGAAACTTGTTTGAAAGAACTGCTGGATGGCTTCAATTGACCTGAAAGATGC